GCCTTGCCCCAGCCTGTCGGTTTATATTTTAAAAAACCTGCTAAGATTTTGATTGTTTTTGTACAGCATCTGTAGCAGTCCCACATGGTTACTTTTAAGTTGTTTTCACCGATTTGAAAGACAGAATTACAGACAGAGAGGGAGAGAGAAAAAGACAGAGGTCTTCTATGCACTGGTTCACTCCCATAAAGGCTGTGACAGCCAGGGCTGCACCAGACCAAAGCCGGGAGCAAAAAACTTCGTCCCGTCTCCCACACGGGTGCAGGGGTCCAAGTCCCTGGACCATCTTCACTGCTTTTCGTAGAATATTAGCAGAGAGGAGGATTGGAAGTAGAGCAGCTGAGACTTGAACCAGCGCTGATACAGGATGCCAGCACTGCAGGCAGCATAATAAACCACACCAACGGCCCCAGCAGCTTCATTTCAAAACCCCTTGAAGGTAGGTAATAATCTAAGAATTTGAGGATTGTGAGGTTGCATCAGTCAGCTTTTATACAACTATAACAGAATGCCCAAGGCAGGTCACATACAGAGAGAAACTTAGCTCAGCTTTGCAGGGTCTAAGAACATAAAGCAGAATGCAGTTCCTAGTGAAGGTGCCATGTAGCGGGGCACGAGCAGACAAGGGTCACATAACCAGGAGGAAGGAGGGAGGGAGCCAACGGCAATGGACTCAGGCCCAAGCTGAAGCTTTCTAATGACCCTGTTGTGAGAACTGCGAGGGCGCAGCCCCCAAGACCTAAGGACTGCCACTATGGCCACCATGCAATGCACACAGTGATAAAACACATCACACCTACTCAGGAGAGAGGAGCACACAGTGACTGACATCTGCAATAAGTCAATCTAAGGAATTCCTGAGGTCTACAAAACTGAATGCCAGCTATTGGTTATGAACAGTCATTTCATTTCACCTAATTATTCTAGGAAAACATATTCCTGGCCAAGGTAATGGACAGAACAAATTCTAGAGTGTTTGTGGATAACAACAATTACAAGATCAATATTTGTCACTGCGTTAAGTGATGGCCATGAAATACTCAGAAGATGATGCAAGTGTGCATGGAAGTTTTGTAAACATGGCAATCATGAAGATGTCATGGCTGTAACACATCTCTCCTATTTGTTGCCACATTGTGAATTCTCCTGGAAACTGTGCCGCAGCGCAAACAACACAGATACGACCGACACTGTTGCAGTCACAGAGCTAATCCTATCTCTGACAATTCTTGAATCAGACGTAGTTCAAGCGATCTTGAATTTATTAAGGCCACAAGCTGTCCTACACAATGATCTTGACTCTCACAAGAAGGAATGTTTATGTTTAATTTAGGCAGTTCCTGTTAGCGTGTGAACCCAGATGTTAAAGAATAGCGGGCTAGTGAGAATGAATTTTCTCTCATTCCTGGATCTATCAAGCTACAAATTGCTTTTGCTGATATTGCACATGCATTCATTCAAACAGGATCATTTACACAAATAGGGCTCTTCTACAAAATCTCATCAACTGAGATTACCACAGCACAGTCTTCTTCGAAAGCCCAACACGGAGCAATGCTCATGTGTACTTACACCTTCCAGGACTGTACACAGGTAAGTACTGAGGTTTTCTTCTATCTTTTAGGTTAATTTTGCATAGCTTTCCAAGTTCCCAACAGAGTACAGAGCCACCACTGAAGGCTGGCTTCTTCTGTCTGATGTCCCCCTCTGCAACTGTTCTCTCAGAGCACAAGAGAGGGCTCATGCACCTGCCATGGCTCTGTGCATGGGGGAAGACACCTCAAGCTCCAGGTCACAGGTAGCCTGGGCCTCAGGGTTCAAGACCAATTAAAATCTGAAACTGAAGTATTGTGAAAGGGGAAAGCCTCTTGGAAAGGCAAAGAATCATAACCTCCTATTCAAACTGCTCAGAGAGATTGGAAACAAGCCCTTGCAAGCAGCTAGCAGACTCACCATGGCAAAGCAAGGGTTTGTTTTCCCGTGTGCCTTCTTCCTCTCTCTCTCCCTCATCCTTCCTTGCTCCCTCCTCTCCCTTCCTCTCTCCCTGTGTCTGTCTCTCCTTCCTTCCCTTTTTCTCTCTCTCACCCTCCCTCCCTCTCTCTCTTCCTCCTCCTCTCTCACCCTTCTTCTCACCCTTCCTCCCTCCCTCTCTCTCTCTTCCTCCCTCTGTCTGTCCCTCCTTCCTCCTGTTTTTCTCTCTCCCTCTCTCTCATATACACATACATACACACAGTACATGAACGCACACACCAATGCCACAGACACAAGACAATGTGTACACAAGTTCACTTTCTTTTCTTCTTGTACTTCTCAATCCAATTACACTCCTCATAGCAACCCAGTTACATAATAAACCTTGTGATTGCAACTGAAGGCAGTTATCCTTTGTCATTTGTTGTTTTCAAACTTTTCAAATGCAAACCGCAACTCTATTCACAGGAACCACTGGGATAGCCGGGAATCAAGAATTGGTGAGTCTTAGATGACTGCCTACGCACCATCTTGTTCATTTCACCAACCTGATGGAGCAGGGATCGAAAACATCCGGGTCAAGTGTCCAAATGGTTACACCAACGATGGAATGGAGTCCACTGATCAAATCTGGGTCTTGCTGACACCACACCCAGTGTGATTTCTGGTCTTTCCGCCACACCAACACTGTTGCATGAGCCTAGCAGACTCATGTCTTCCTTGAGTGTTAAGGACTAGCACGAGTAGACTAGGAAACATGTGAAAACTTGAACTTACTCTTGGTAACTCCCTACCCAGAGATCCAAATGGAGCTTCATGCTCCTGGCTTTGCCCTAGTCCAGCACTAAAGCCCTGATTATTGGCAGACATTTGAGCATTGAGTCACCAGATGGAACAACCTTTTTTCTCTATCTCTCCCTACATTTCTATAAATTCAAGTAAATTCACAAGATCCTAAAAAGAAAAAAAAAGGTGCAAAGGTGTGACCTAGCCCATCAGGGCTCTCTTGCTCCCAGTAGCACCAGCTGGTACTACAGAAAAGCTCACCCTCCAGGACAAAGACTCCAAGGGGAAGGACAGCATGCAAGGTGACGCCACTGACACAACCTGCTTCTCTCGGCTGCACCACTTCAGTGTTGCGTTAGCTGCAAACGTAAGCTGGGGAGTTCAGACTACATGTAGGGGCTTCTGTATTTTCAAGAATTATTGTGCACCAAACCCTGATATTCTAATTTTCTACCTAATGATGCCAAGCCAAAAACCACCACAGGAAATGAACGAGGGTCTACAACACCACCTACTAGAAAGACCCAGAAACATTCTTTCCTAAACCTAAGTAAGGTAAGGGAAGATCTTCACTAAATTGACAAGATTTTGACTGTGTGAGCTCTGTAAACGCTGGGACAGAAAGAACACTGTTCTGTCTCTGCTTTGCACAGTACCAACTTCAGTGTTCGTTGTGAGATGCACTTGTAGCTATTAGGTGGTGCAAGATAGCACGTGAACTTTATCTCTCAGATTCCTCTTCCTGTTTCACTCATAGTCTCTCTTCATTTTGGTCTTACTTATTTGATTCTATCCCAATGCTTTAGATACAGCCCTAACTTAAAGCAGGATTCAAGTAACAAAGAAAGAAACCAAAAATGCAATCAGCAAAAATGATTAGGTATTTCCCTAGGGATTCCTGAAGCCAGCCTTGAATGAATCTTAAACATTACAGTGTACCACAAGCCCGAAGTGAAGACCAATTTCCTAATCATAAAATGTATCCTGTATAATGTCAGACATTCTCCCCTTTAAAACAAAGGTTTTGAGTTAAACAGCTGTGATCTCCTCTCAAAGTTCTGGGGGAAAATTAGGAGGTAAAGGCCTAACCCACTTGACGAGTGCAGTGGCAGAATCCACTTGGGACTCAACACCCACCCACAGGACACAGGAAGTGCAGGGTCAGAAGCAGCACTGAGAAGGAAAGTCAGCCACTGTCACGAGGTCTCTTTCCAGTTAGGTGAAGGCTAAGAATCGTGCAGCGGGAAGGAAGAGCCTGAGAGTGACCCAGAACAATAGGAATTTCTGAAACTACAGCTCATGCAGCAAACCGAATCACAAGCACAGGACGTGCAAACAAGCTCAGCCTCCCTCCCTTTGCTTGCCACGTGCAGATACGGCCTCGGAGACTGACGTTTCCCACGCTCGCTCGTGCAAAGTCCTTCTGTGTCTGTTGCCTTACTTGTTGGCTGGTTTTGAAAAAATCACCTATTTTTATTAATAGCAGTTTGAATTAGACTCAATTCCTATAAACAGAACTGAGCAGCTGATTCTAGTCTAAGAATTGTACAGCAAAATCCAAGTGTGCATATTATACATTCAAAGATAGTCTGTTCAGTATTTCCACACAGGGCAAACTGAGACCTGAGTACTACTAGTCGGGATTCCCAAGTGTGAGGATTTTGTAGTATTTCACATGATCTGCCCAGTGGACAAGAGCAAGCCCAACATCTCAATCCAGTACCCCCAATATGAGAAATAAACGCCCCAAACAATCTTCTGCTAGTGCTACTGAGTAGAACTGCCTTCCTCAAAACAGAACGCTGGGAAGGTTACTTGCCTAAAGACTAAATTTATACTGCTTGGATAACTTTATTTTTGCCAGATCATTCCGAGGTAGCACTGTCAATCTTCCGATCTGAGTGGCGCTGGGATGGGGATTGTGCCATTTTCGATGATCCCCTTCCCAAGAGGGGTAGAGAGGAAGAACAACTGTGGGGAAGCACACGGAGTCACATTGTCTCAGGCTGCATCACACAGGGACTGGGATCTACAGTCATACAACTTAAAGGACTTCGGCTTCACACCTTGCCAAATCCCTCCAAAACCCACAAAGTGCTATAGAAGATGACAGATGGGCTTCACAGGACTTGGGGAACCTCAGAGTAGAGACAGGGTGATTATCTGCAGTGTTTACTTATCAAGAGGACCCCACAACGCAGACATGTGACGCATGAAACTTAAGCATTGCAAGATCTTCCTACCTGCCTCTTTGGAAATCTGAGTGAAGGATTCCACACCTTTCTCCCCGTAACTTCCTTCAGACGCAAGGGTAGACACGTAGTTCCAGCCCAGGGCCTTCACAATGTCCACCATGGCCTGGGCTTGGAAGGAATCGGGCGGGACCACGCGGGAGAAGAAGTCGTAGCGCCGGTCGTCACTGAGCTCGGGTGCCGTGGACGCGTAGCTGATCTGAGGGATCTGAAAAGACAGGACAGCACCGTGTGAGCACAGACTTCCAGGGGCTTGCTGACACACCCAGTGGTCTGCGCAGAACAGGCTGAGAGCTGCAAGGGACACGAGAGCTCTGTCACACACCACCGCACAGTCGTAGACCACCTAATGACAACCACTCTCCTCTCAGTAGGATCAAACCGTTGGCCTCCCGCTCTGCCCCTTCATTTCCCCCTCTTTGTAAGGGGCACGGAGGTGGCCATGGCAACTTTAAGGTCAGGAGAGGTAGGCAAAAAAGGCACACATCCATTCTTCTAAACATTGTGGATCACAGCTTAATTTCCATGCAAAAAACACAACCTCGCTGCGGTGTCCAGATAGAGTGGTTTAGATGACAGCCTGTGAGCCCTCCAGGGCAGCACCACCCATCTAACACTGACTGAAGTCGACCAAGTACCTATGCAGGCTGCATGTGCAAGGCATCTCAGTAACACCCCAAGGCCCAGGGAAGGCAGGATGCTTCCCTCCTCCAAAATCCTCTCCCAACAGTCCTTTCGCTTTGCAGGAGCTTCCTTAAAACTCTCTCAACCCCTCCTTGGGTGCTGGAGTCAGCTGGTGTCCTCCCTCAGGTGCCGCTGAGCCGCTTCTGGCAGTGCACTGACCCTTGACTCCAGGACAGATGAACTGGACGTCGGAAGAGTTCTAGCACTCACGCCTGTCAGGATTATCCTTGGGCCTCGCAGAAGGGCACAGCCAACAACCCAATCATGTGCACAAAGAGTACCTTGTTTGTTTTGAAGGATCCTTTGAGATTTAGCTATCTGAAGTAGTTTTTAACTAAATCAAATTACCTAGACAGACAATCTGTTTTAACAAAATCAAATTACCTAGAAAATAAAAAAGCTACAAAAACCGTTTGCCCAGGATCACGAGTGCTCTCTGGGCAGCCTTGAAGGAGTCGCCAATGAGGAAACTGCCCTGGGATCTGCCTTCAGGACCTCGTGCAGAGCCCAGCACCTGTTCTTTCTCTTCACTCCAGCAAGCAGTAGACCATCAGTGGTGTGCAATCATTTCTGACAAAACTGCTTGCCAACTCTCCCACGGTTTACATCTCCTCTATTACAGCCATTGCTCAACCGTCTAAAGGTGAGTTTTGATCTTTGCTTACAGGAAGCAGAACAGCTCAGCTTGGCTCACCCATGTCCAAGGTATACTCAAGTTGACTCACTGAGCCCCGAAATTGCATTCAGTATTAGCCTGGTTGTCCTCCTAAGGGACATTTGCTCACAAACCTTCCAGGTTAGCATTGCAGTCAAATCCAACCTGTTCCAACAGGAGCCTCCACTGTCCAAGCTGCAGTTCTGGACTGTGACCACTAGGGGCAGCTCTCTGTCCCTTCATCAGAGCCCAAAGCCAGTTTCAGAAAGGTACCAACACCCTGCAGGGTCTTTCCTGTGCAACCTCTCAGTGACGGGGGCAGTGACGTGCAGCAGAGAGAGGAGGATTTGTCCTGTGCAAGATCTAGAATCAGATCACGGTGTTTTGGTGGACTACTGTCTATGCTGGTGAAGTTATCTCACTTCCATGACCTGACAGCTGAGTGAGAGGCGGGGATAAGGAATGTGCATTGCCCAGTGTAATTCCTGGAACAGCAGGGGCATTTCATACATGGGGGTGGAGGTGATCAAATAATCATCAAAAAATAAGGTTATTCTTTCCACTGCATTTCACTTCCCATGTTGTCTGCAGCCCATGGGGTGGTTCTAAGGCACAGGAATACTTTGCATATTCCTACCACTGGTTTAGAAAGAATGGCTATTGTTTACTCAACTCCTTACTGTGAGAGCCAGTAGTGTTTCCAAATTGTGGGTACCTCGCCTTATCTAATCATCAACAAACACACATATGCTCTTCTCCTCTGCTCTAGGTTTGTTTGACCAAAACAAAAACCAAAAGCTTGAAGCAGAGTACGACCTGGTCTCCAGTCTTAACGCAGCTATGAAACACAGAGCAAGGCTCCAGCCTCGACTCTTCAGGATAACACCTCCTAAGGTCTTGCTCAAATACTTGAATACTAAGTGTAAGAAAAGGAGACGCAGTCCAGGCTGATCTCTGCCCACTGAACTGACAACGCAGCCACTGTGTGATGGTGCTGGCTACTCTGAGCCTACTGTTCAAACCTTCCATGTAAAGCTTCTATAAACATCTCAAGAGGATGACATATCTGTGTGTCGGTTATGGTTTGGATTTTTATGTTTTAAGTAAAGAAAACATCAACTGAACAGAAGCTTCAGGAAGAAAAAAATGGAAAGAGAGAGACGGAGGCCTTTCACAAGAAATGAGAGGGAGAAGTCAAGCATTTCAACACATTTCCATCCCTCGCCACTTGTGGAAACATAAAACCTTCACGCACTGCTCAGAGACCTGCCCTGCCCAAATCCCTCTCTAGCTGTGAAAGGCTGCTAATAAAGACACATCCAGCCTTTTCCTTGCAGCTGAATTTATGCAGCTTCCGTAAAACACCAGCATTGTCAAGTTCCCCGATGCAAATCAGTTTCTGAACTGTGCTGCAAATTTTAGGAATGAAAACCATGGCAAAACCAATTTCTCTCATCACAACGCACCCTCGGAAAATGATCGCTCTCTGTGGTCCACTCCCTCCAGTGCAGATAAATAGCCGTTCCCAGCTTAGGAGCCATATTTCTCTCTAGCATCATGCACACACCCCCTGTCCACAGCACTTATTTTTACAATATGTGTGTAACTGCAGACTGTTTGAAAAAAGAACGCAAGACACCAAGAATCTGAGTTTCAAATTAGGCTTTGTGAGATGCTCCCTCCCTCCTATTAACAAAGATGAAGGACAGAAATGATTAAAAATTTCTGTAGTAAGAAGCTGGGTATTTACCAAGCCCTTTCGCTTTATATTTAGTTTGCAAACTCATCTTTCCTCTGACACAGTAATTATTTTGTGCTGTGTGTTACAACTGGCACATACAACCAACCAGATGAGTATTAGTCACTTTTAGTGATTTATTGCCACACTCTCCTTGATCCTGAGCTATAATTTCTCTTTCTGCTGTGGAAATCCTCCCCTCTTGCCAGTCATTTGTGGAAAAGGAGAATTGATCTTGTGAGGACAACTGAGTAGAATAACAACTCAGTGTTAAAAAAACAGATACTCCATCTCTTACTGAGGCTTCTTTGCATAATTTAAAAAACAAAGCATGTTATCTCAAAACCTAACAAAGAAAAGAAATAGATGGGAGAAGGGAGGAAGGAAAGTATTATTGTATTCTTAGAACTGTATCTATGAACTACGTTAGAACTGTTCTCTTTGTATTAATATCATATTAACATAAAAAATAATGTATACATATAATCTTTAATAACTGTAGTACAACTAAAGTCTCAAATTTTGTTATTCTTTTCTCATCATAAAAAGTTATATAAGAGTCATGTTGTCAATAATGACGGTAAGACAGAATTAAAACAATTATAATCTCCACTGTATGGAATGAGTTTGTAGTTTTGCTTAGAAAATCACCTAAATATAAATCACAAAAAATGTAAAATAGAATAATAAGGTAGTTTTTAAAAATATTTATTTATTTGAAGGGCAGAGTAACAGGGAGAGAGGCACAGATACAGAGCTTCCAACTGCTGGTTTAATTCACCCCTTCCCCAACAGCCAGGGTTCGGCCAGGGTGAAACCTGGACCCTGGAACAGTCTGGGCCTCCCATGTGGGAGGATGCGGCCTCAGATCTATCCCCTGCTGTCTCCCAGGGTGCGCGTCAGCAGCCAGCTGCATCAGAAAAATGACAGCTGTGACTCAACGCTGTATTTCAACACAGGGTGCAGGCATCCCACATGGCGGCTTACTCTCCGGCACCACAACGCCTGCCCCAATAAGGTGATCTTCATGCCTGACCTGTAAAATCATTCTCTATCATCCATGTGTGTTCTCACATATACAGAGAAACAGTCCCTTCCTACTCCTTGTCTCCCCCCCCCCTCCCCATTATGGTTGCAAAGGGTTCTGCTGTATGGACATTTAACCTGCATAAACCTGATCCCCAATGCTACGTAGTTGCGTTTTTCCAGTCTTCACTACCAGAGCCCAGTGACACCTGTGCGCACCTGTGCACACATCCGTGGCTGTGTCCCTAGCACGATGCTCAGGCTGCTCCTCATGCCGTGGAGATGAACCTTCCTCCACAGGGAACTGACTTTGGGTTGCAATGTCAGGAAGAACAGTCCACTCCTTGCCCCCGCATTAATGGTTAAATAACCATTCTTCGCCTTGCAGGAAACGCACTCTCTTGTCCTATATCCTTAAACATCCTTTGGGGTCTTTGGGGTCTGCCACTTCTCTGGAGTCTCTGGCTAGTGTTCGACTCATTTGCTCTCATGATCTTAGACTGCCATAAAGCTTTGCTCCCATCAACACATCCCTCTGCAGAATTGCTTTTTTTAAATGATCATAGCAACTCTGTGTTAAGCTTGCCACAGAAACTTCTGAATACTTTTTTCAAGTTCATAATAGAGTCCCATGAACAATTTTATGCAAAGTAGATACTAGCTGTAAATTAATGTGGGAAGAAATCCTATTTACAACGTTTCATCGGCTCCCATGGGACAACGTCTGTTTCCATCGATTCAGTTGCATGTTCTTTCCTGCTACTGAAGTCTTTTAATTGCCTACAGGTAGGCCCTGCTCACTGTTAACTTTATTTCTAAATAATAGTTATTTTCCATTTCATTATGTGTGAGACAAAATGTTCATTTTGCTATCTATTACCAGCATACAGGAATTTATTAACTTTTATATATTTGCTGTGTGACTTACACCCCTGTTAAAAATCGTATTAGTTCTAATTGCTTCCAGTTTATTTTCTTGAGATTTCCGAGGAGGCAAGCCATTTATTGAGTGTTTTTTCTAATTACATCGGCTAGAATTTTCACAAAAACTAGAGACGGTGAGTAATACTCCTGTCCCTTATCCTCGGGGAACACTGAAAGCCAG